CTCCCTACAGGCAATCAAATTATACTAAACAATTATTAGAGGTTATCAAACCAAGTCCATCTTTTCATTTGATCAGTTATTCAGTCACTCCACACAACCGACACCTGAATGTTCAGTGGCAACTTTGCAAGTGGAACAACTATGGAATCAGGTCCTAAAATCTTAGTTACAATATTCTTTTCTTTATGACCTCCTATGACAATTATTCTACAGGCTGCCTCAAGAAGCTGTTTCCTTTTTTTAGTTGCAAATAGACTGTCCTTCTTACCTTAAGATTAGGAGACAGGAGAAAGAGAAGAGACTGGTCAGTTTTCTATTCTGTTCATATTTCTAAATACACCAATCAGGACTTCTCTACAGATATGAACAAACAAATACATTACAGTAAGCTAGAAAGATGTGGGACAGTACAGCTGACACACCATTAACTGTTTATTATTTTAAGAACAAAAATTATCTTCTTTCCTAGCTGCAAATATACTGCCCTTTCTTTTTACTTTAAGATTATGGAACAGAGAAAAGAAGAGTAGTTGGTCAGTTTTATATAAAACTGTGCAGTTCATACAGCTAGGATAGGGAGCAAGATTCTGGTCTGGTCTAAAGGGTAGCAACAGAATAGCTCACAAACTCTTGACTGCATAATCTCTCCTGTTAGTGATGTGAGTCAGCAAAGGTCAGCTTGACTCTCAGATCCCCTGCTGAATTTGCATCTGGCAGTTATGAAAAAGAAAATCCCATCCTTCTTCAGATAGAGGAATGAATAAGACATCATAACCATAAAAAACCCACCAAGCCACGCTTAGAATCTCTGTCCAGAATAGAGCCACAATGAACCTTGGAGAAAATGTTTGTATTTTGCTCTGTAGAATACAGTGGAAAAAACAGTGGGTGGATTCCAGCAGGCCAACAAAGATGCCGTTCTGTGTAAATATCTCACTCCAACCACTCAGTTCCTAACCTCACAGGATTCCAAAGTCCATAACTTCATTTAGCATGCCAGCTGCTTCCACTTCGGATACGGTGACAGCAGGCAGCGTGAAACTGACATGACTTGGAGACAGCCCAGTTTTATTTTAAGACAATATTTTATATATATATATGCGGCACACAAGAAAACTAAGTTGAAAGAACATTATTCAGGTTGCAAAGTCAAGCACTCAAAAGTTAGGACATGCCCAAATGAAAGTGGCCTCTGATGCTTTAGTTCTGGCCCTTGTGTATATGCATCAGACAATAACATTTCAGGACCTTGAGTTAGGCATCCAGACAATGAGATGCACACAACTCATGGCTGTTTGTGGTCCCCATCCTAGTACTAATCCCACTCCCCTTGTTCAGCCATTGCTTCCTTCCCAAGGCATTGTTCAATGTCTCTCTCCCATGGGTGCCAACAGTCACCTTATTTCCCCTGCCTATTTTCCATGAACCTGATGATTCTGAACCTCAATCTGCCTCCTCGACCTCTTCTTCCAATTTCACTGTCTACCCTTCTCATAACTAATTTCCCAGTCCCCTATCAACACAGTACCTAGCTCCCAATCCTAGGACTGAGCCTGTCCCAGCCTTGCCCTACATCAGTTCCCAATCCCAGTGTCCCTCTCTTCCCTGTCAAACTGTGGTGCTAGTTTCCCCCAAGCATCTTGCCCCAATCTACTTCCTCCACCTGATCCTACATGTTGTTGGAACCTAGCAGGGATGGTCACTGGAAGCGCAAGAAAGACAGGTTTCCTGCCATTAATTCACATAGCCAAACTCAACAGAAGCCAAGAGACGCATAGAAAGTCCTGTTCAGCTCTATGATCTCCACAGTAGTTAGCTGCTAAAATTAAGTCTCTATTAAGCATGAGCAAACTATGATTTTTCCAAGACTTAAAACGCGTAGTTTTAAATGAGAATGGCAAAAGTCAAATCATTGACACAGAGGCCATGCTCTATGCACATACTGAATATCAGGTCCCTGCTTCAAAGGTTGGTGGTGCTAGAGCTTTTCAAAACAAAGGTCACCCAGATTTTTTTTTGGCAAGACAACACATTTTTTCCCAGCCTCATTCTCAGAAATGGGAAAGCCATTTTTAAAACACTTTCCAGAAAAACTTTAGCCCAAGGCAGAGACATCTGCCATAGAGTAGTTAAAGTTTGGCAAACTTATGAACAGCTAGCAGCATGTGAATGGGACGTGCTGGGCAGCTTTAATAGTAGATGATGTTACCCTATAATTGGCCAAGTGATATGAGTGCCTCTGCTCAATTTGATGGCACTTCTCTGTTCATCTGCTTGTCTGGCAGGCAGTAATTTTTGAATGCCACATCCAATCCATTTCAAAATGTCTGGGAATTTTCTAGGTAGAACCCTATTGATTTTAGTGAAAACAGGAAAATCAGAAAAGGGAAATGGGGGACACATGGAGCTCTGGCATGGTAAGGGGAGAAAGAGATATGATAGTTGAGGATCAAGGCCTGGACAATCTTTCCTAGTGGTTAGGACCTAGAGAACATGGCTGAAAGGCAGTAGCAGGTTCCAACTCAAAAGCCAAAATCAGTAGCCAAGAACTGAAGTCAAAAGCCAGGAGTCTGGAACAGGAGGTTAGGGTTAGGCTACACAGAAGCTGAAAGCAAGACAAACCTAGGAAGCAATGCAGGGAAAAGGAGACAGACTTTGAAAGCCATCAGGAACCAAGGCAGAATCATAGCCTTCTAATAAGCTGAAGTTCAGCTGAGGGTACTGATCTTGAAGCTCAGCTGCCTGCAGCCAATAGGCCAGTCAAGAACATTGGGACCCATCAGGAGTCAACAGCGCCTGGCTAGGCCTTAATTTGGGTGCAAGACCTCAACCCTCACACCAAAGGGGAAAAGGGTCCACAGAGTCCCTGTCATGTCAAAAAGGGACAATTAGCTACAGTGTACATTTGCATCACACAGGGCACAAGTACAAGTACAATTACATCTGAATAAACTCTAGAGAAGTTTGTGCCAGAGTTTATTGCTCCCAGGCACAGTGTTTATACATGTGCCTGAGACCACAGCATGTTAAGCTGGGGCAGTGAAACCCCGGCTGGCATGGGGCCCTGAGGTTCAGCCTGCCACTCCAGAGCTGCTCCTCACAGCTCAGCTTGCTGCAGAGGGGCTGGCTGGGGAATGAGGGTGCTATAGCTTGTGGCTAGCTGGCAGGCAGCCCCCACACTGTAGCACACTCATCCCCCAGGCAGCCCCACTACCATCTACGCATGCATTGCAGTGGAGGTAAATAACTCCACTGTAAAATACTACTTGGGTCAGGCAGTACTAACTGACTGTGAAGTTAATAGCTCCACACATGGAGACAGTAACACTTTAGTGCAGATCCAATAAGGCAACTCAACAGTAAGTGTGTTGTATAGATGCCCCCACTGGCTCCCCAATGTGGACACTCTTATTGCAGCTTAAGTACTTGGCCATACAGGAAAATAAGTCCAGAGTAAGTGAAATAGTGAGTTTAAAGCACACTAGCTCCTGCTCACTACCTTACCATGTAGCAGCATTGCCTTGTTGCAGCATAAGGACTTGGCCATACAGGAAAATAAGTCCAGAGTAAGTGAAATAGTGAGTTTAAAGCACACTACCTACTGCTCACTCCCTTGCCATGTAGCCATTCTGAGTGTGTCTCCATTGACCCTCAGTGTTGGCCTTACTCAGCCCAGGTCACATGAGCTGCTTCTCCTAATCTATAGCTTATTTTGTAGCCCACACCGACTGACAGTCATCCATATTGTGTGCTTCCTGCACAAAGCCCCTCTAGGTCTCAGTCAGCATATTACATGTCTCCCCTTCTGTGCTTGGCTCCAATTTTGGATCATGGGGCTCCAATTGTGGATCACAGAAAATGAGTTGCAGAGGAGCTGGAATTCGGGAGCAGAGAGTGGGATTGCAGCTGACTGTGTGACTGTCTGTGTTTGTGGCCTGCAGCACCTGAATGAGTTCCAAATATAGTGCAGGCAGGGGCATGGCATGCTCAGACTCAAACCACAAAGTTTAGCTGAGCATCTGGAGTGAGGTCAGACTGTTGCTTGGATTAAACTTAGCACTTTTTGGTGTAGATGGTTGGGGGCGTGGGCTTCAGGGCAACTTTAAGGTCAACCCTAAATAGCAATATACCCAAGAGTGCCTTAATGTAATGCAAATAACTTCATCTGCAAAGCATAGAAAAGTAGGGCAGACCAAAGGCTTGTGTATGTGGGGACATTACTGTGAAATAAGTGTGTGAGTTTATAGCACACTGGCTAGCACGCACAAACTCTTTGCATCAACCCTGTTAATGAGTAATAAGTGTGAGACAGCACACTCCTTTTCAGATTAACGAAGGTACAAAAGTCTAGTGAAGACATACCCTTCAAATAAGAGAACTGTACTCAAAGTGTATAGTTCTATTAATTGCCCACTTTACAAGCACTCAGAATGACTGAAAGATATATAAAACCCTCTTTGTTCTTCCCATGTTGAAAATCCACTAACACAGACACTAATTCATATAGTGATATCCACAGGTATTTGTTAAAAATGTAGCTACCTCTACAGACAAGAGCAACCTGTAGAGGCCCTGCTATGGTCCTCCAAAAATTCTGGGTCCTCAAAAATGATGCATTATACAAATACAGCAAGGTTGGATCTACCACATATTGCACAATGTAATTATGGTGCATTAATAAGGTAGTTTAAAAGATTAGCCTTCTTGATAATCACAGGCAGACAGTAGCTTTCAAATAACAAGTCTGATATCCTCAAGAAGGACATTTTTGAAAGTGTATTTCATTGTGACCCAGGAAATATGATGGGTAGCATCCCATAAGGGCAAAAGTACAATGTTTCTATGACAGGTCAGAAAAGTGAAGCCCAGGTGAAGAACTCTGGAATCTTGGAGTTCATCTAAAGGAAGTAAAAATGTTGACCTTTTGCACTCAAACGTTATGGTGATGGGTGAAGAATTGATAAAGGAATGATAAGTGCAGTCCAGAGCAGTAGACTTACCAGAGCTCATTTTTCCAATAGTCATTTCAGACAAAGTAGCTCCCTGCAGACACATCCCATTCATAGCTAGGTTCCAGGCAATCCTACAGTAAAGGCAGGCAGCAGTTGTAGTTTTCTCTGTTGAAAGGAAAGGAGATAGTCATCTTTAGATTTGCCAGCTGATGGTTAGGGCCTCATACCCTCTGAAAGGGTTTCTATTTTATATTTAAAAAGAAAATCAGAAAAAAAATCCCACCATGGATACAAAGGAAGATATGTATGGTGCATAGAAGTCCATTTATAGGAGAACTCATCTGCTTTACTAGCTATGTGAAATGAGAGCTTTCATCCAGAGACATGATCTGTGTTTAAATTTAACCAGTTTTCTCTATGAGGCAAGAGAAACAATAAAAGAAAATCCAAGAAATGACAAAGTTGGTGCTGGCAGAGATCTATTCTGGGATTACTCTGGGTCATTTCTGAAAACATGTTAGATATTTTAACAGTTCTGACCTTTGCAATACAGTAGTGTTAAACAAGACGTACCTATTCTACATACATTAGAATGCTCTTATTTCTGCATTCCAGGGTGTACATTATTTGATCCATGATTTGTTTGATAGTTTTTCTGATCTTTCCAAAATCCTTAACGAGTTAAGGATAGACAATTAGGTACTTATACATCCATACAGCGGTACCTTGGCAGTTGCTCTCAGTGGATTCATTCCAAATTTATATAGAGATTGCTGAAATCAAAATCTGCTCCTTTATCTCACAGAGGTATAGATAATGCAATAAGAAGACATCAGAGGAAACCAGACCTGTTTTTATGGTAGAAACATAGGAATTACCATACTGGATCAGATCACAGTCCCTCTAGTCCAGTATTCTTATCCTGACACTGGCAAACTCCAAATGCTTCAGAGAAAGGTACGTTAAACAAGGCAATGGAAAAGCAATGAATAACCTGCCCAAAGGGAAACGCTCTTTGTAACCAGTGTCAGGCAGTTACTTGCTTAAGATCTGATGCATGAGAATTTAAAACTCTTATGAAACATTTCCAAAATTATCCTTTTACATTACTGTACTTTCTTTAACTATGGATGCTCGCTATCCCATTGTGAATGTTGAATCCTTCTTTGAATCCTACTAAGCTCTCAGCTTTAATGATATCTTGTAGTGAGGACATAGCCCTTCACATTCATTGAATGTCTCCTTGTTCTTGTTTTATGACACGGGACAATTAAGAGCTCCTGATTTACTCTCTATATAGTATTCAGTATGTTGTATAAGCTCTATCAAGTTCCTTCTTATTTGCTTCTTTCTTGAAACAAAGAGTTTCCAATATTTCCCTCTTTTCTCATATAGAATACCATGAATACCCATTCACAATATAACACTTCTTGTCAGAACAATATGCTGATAACTTTCAATCAACAATTTATTTGAAAATTCTTGGTAGTGTAAGAGTGATGTTGTAGCTGTGATGGCCCAGAGGCAAGGATTTTTTAAGGTGATATCTTTCATTGGACCAACTATGTAGTTGGGATGAAGTTAGACAAACTTTTGAATGACCCTGATGAAAGATGTCTTACATTTGAAAACTTGTCCAACTTTATCCCAGCTACACAATTGGTCCAATAAAAGATATCACCCTAAGAAATCCTTGTCTCTTTGTAAAGACACCCAAAACCCTCTCTGTGTTTTGTGACCAGTAAACACTCATTTAAAGATAAAGATGATAATACATGTGGTGGCAGCTTGGAGAGAAGCATTTTTTTGCACTGTGTAGTCTTACAGAAGTAGAAGATAAACTAATTGTTCAATAACATTAGTTCTATGTCTACCAATAAAATCAAGTTTTCTCCTTGGTACCAATGAGAGAACCAAACAAGCAGTACAATCCACAGAAACTTTTTACACAACCTGTTGTTATTTCATTATGTTTGGCAACAAATCTTAGCTCTTCCCATGCAGTCAATATTTATAACTTTACCAGATGAAGTGGAGATTTGATGGCCTGCTTTGGATGAGAAATTTAGCTTTCGGTGATTCTTTTTTTAATGTACGTCTGTTCAGTTGTGGATTCCAATAGTTTCTATATAACACAGGAATGATAAGGAAACCTATATTCCTTTCCTTCATGTACAAAGGTGAAACAGTAACCATTACACCTGAAGGGTATTCTACTTGAATTTTTACATAATGAGATATCACCTTGACAACAATGAAAGTGTTGAAAGTACAAAAAGGATAAAGCATTATCTTGAAAGCAATCCCTTTGTATCTGTTACCTACACCACAGAAATGGTGCAAGACTTAATTAATTAGTGTTTATAAAGCACTTTAGATGGTTAGCTAAAGTGCACTCTAGAACTGTGAAGCGTTACTAATTATTAGTCTATGATATTTAGAAATGATAAGCAATTTAAGTTTTAATAATTTGACTGGAACTCCAAAGAGTTCTATGATAATAAAAAAGGGAACATTTCACTGCAGATTGAGAGAATAGAGAATTGCTGCCCAAGTGTTTCAGCAGCTGTGAGCTGTTCATTTTCAAGACAGCATGCACTGGAGTGTTTCTGTTGATTTCAGTAGGCTTTAAAGTAGGCCCATTGCCCTCACTGCCATGACTATGATATAGAAGATCTATTGCTTCATTGGGTTTCCAAAGACTGTCTTTCTGAAGAAGAAAGGGTCATGCCACATGAAACATATCTCCTATATTGACCCATAGTTGATCAACAGTCTTTTGACCCTGTGATCATCTTCAGCTTGGCTGAGACTGGTTATGGTTATGCGACCAGAAAAAGAGAAAAGTTCAGCAAACAGCAAATCTGATTCTGTCTCACATTTTAGCTTGCTAGTCATGTTGTCAGATTAGAAACAAATGTTTGGAAAAAGTAAGAGTCTGTGTAGCATAAAAATAAATGAGAACATTTTCAAATACTCCCTCAGATACTGGGATGGCTTTGCTTACCCTAATAGTGTTCACAGAGAAAAATAACTCTTTTATAGGAGTGTGTGGGGAAAGATGTGGAGGAAGAAAAAAACGCGTACAAAAACAGAGAGAAAATTTTACCTACATTAATCCAAACAGGTAGAAGGTTCTGTTTCTCAGGTTCTGTAACTGGTCAAAATAACCACATAGCTCTTTCAACAGAAACAAAAATGTTTTAAAGTTGTGTATAAAATCATTTTAGAAGGAGGTTTAAATGGAAAGCTATGGTCTACAGGGAAAGCTATTTGGCCTTGGGCTGAAAATGTATCTGAGAATGGGCAATAATGCCCTCTACAGCTTCAGAAATTAAATCCCATTGTCAATCACTTTTCCCCACTCTGGACAATAAACTTCTCTCACACGGGGGATTGCATGCGAGTGCACATGTGCATGCACACGTGTGCACATACACAATTGATAATACGTTCCTACTTGTGCCTAAACACAAGGGATGAGACTCTGTGCTTCACCTCAGAGGCAAATGACCGACAGACCAGGCCAGGACTAAAATGACAGTGGAGTATACAAAGCCACAGTTGCACCTTCCCAAACCTGAACCACCACTGGGGTTGACAGGCCTCTGATATAACCCAGACAAGGCCTGGAGGCTTTGGGGGACTGCATTAGAGGGTATAAACTGGCCCTGCTTATGTCATATCCCTACCACCCTTATTTTTGCCTCCTACACCGCTACTTGCAAAATGGACCTCAGTTGGCAACTCTATGACATTTTCTGCAGTACATGAACCGAGAAATCTTCCTCTGGTTACACCTGTAGATTCAGGGCTGATGGACATTACTGCAGCCTTTTTAGCAGTATATCTTTCCTGCATTGGGGCAAGGCTTAATTATTCCAGAAAGCCTTCCACCAGTAGATATCAAGCCTTGTTATTTTGCTGTCCTGACCTCACATTAGAGTGTAAAACAAAGCAAATGCCTCAGGCTGTCCACACCCCACTGGAACAAACAAGATGCATCGCATCAAACCCCATCCATTACCCACTTGAAAGGAAGTTAAACAGGGAGCAGAATGGGAATAGCTCCAGGGTCTAACCCAGAAACCTAAGTCATTTTAGACTCTGAAAAGCAATCTCACTTGTGGATCAGACTGCTGCTCTCTCTAAAGCAGGTGTATGTTGTAGGAGCACATGCAAAGTGTTTTCTCTTCACTTCCTTTGTTGAGTCCTGCATATGGAACAACCCGTAGAATACTGGAAGTGCTTTCCCCTACTACCCTTAAGGGCACATGGAAGTCTCCAAGAAAAAATCAAGAGCTGAAGAATAGGACTGCTGCAGTGGGGAGAAGATGGTATAAGTTGCATCCCCAAAAGGTAAGTAGCAAAGGACTATGTGTAGCTGGGAACTCAGGGCAGCATATTTTCAACCACATTGTGGTTTAGCTTCCCAGGGATGATGAAACTGCACCAATTCTAACAGCAGGCTGCCTCAGATACACTAATTTGATTCCTTTAATAAGAATTAACCTTTTGACTGCCAAGAACTAAACTTTTTGACTGATTCCATCTTTAACTGCCAAAGCTGGCTCATGTACTGCAAGTCTGGATGACAATGAACAGTTGTACCCAGTTATATCCATCCTTTTCCTGCTTTCCCATTGGCTGGATTCAGTTTCTAGACTGTAATCTATGCTGGAGACAATTTATTTGGGCCCAAAACAATGTCCCTTTATTTTCAGGGGTGCTAAATGCTCTCCATTCCCATTGAGCTCCCAATGGAAAGGCAAATGAGGACAAAAAAGGCGGCACAAGGAGGAGTGCCAGGAAATGAGACCAAACAAAAGAACAAAAGTTGCTCAACACCTTAAAAAAACAGGCCCCTTACTTAGATGCCTGTTTAGGCATCTGAGCTTGAAGATTTTGGCCAGCAAGTTTAACTCACCTATCTGAATGTGTGTTTTAGTGGTGAAATAGACACATTGATTAAAGATTGCAGAAATCACACTGCAAGCCTTCCTGTAACACCTCCTTCAGTTTCTGCCCCACCTGGGCTCTGGCCATTCCCAAGGGAAGTAGATGGTGGCCACTGTCCAAGGTAGGGCACTGCAGAAATTTGATTCCACCACCACTTCTCAGCCAATGGGATGGTGAAACCTTAGCCACCAGCCCACCCTGCTTTG